TGGCAGAAGGAGTCTGGGGGGTCCGTCAGCCGAGAGGAGCTGCTCCTTGCCCTGCAAAACCTGGAGGCCATCATGATCCAGACGGTGTACGATAACCGGATGGCCAAGGTGGGACTGAGCAACGTCGTTATGGACACCACCACCACGGAAATCACCGGCCTGGGTGTGGCGCATCACGTGGAGGAATGCAGGTGCCAGCCTGGGGGCGGGGATTGGGGGTGGGGAGGGGGCTACTTCTGGAGAATCTCTAGGACCAAAATCTATTTGGGGAAGAACGACTACTGGATCACACATCATAATCAAGCCTGCTCTGGAGTCAGACAACGCTTATTCCCTGGTTTGTTGTAGGTCCGAGGGTCTAAACGGGGAGGAGAGGGTTAACAGAGTGTGTGTGTGTTGTCTCCCACCCCGCATCATAGAGATGGGAGCCTCCAAGAGCTGGAAAAACAGGGCCACTCTAGGATTCCTCTCAACTTTTGCTGCATTCCCTCTCCCCCCCCCCCCCCCCCGCCCCCCCCCCCCCCCCGCCCGGGCCCGCGAACTTTCCGCGCTCAAATACTATTTGCCTGGAGGGGATGCGGTGGCTCAGCCGCTAAGGCGCTGAGCTCGTCGATCAGAAAGGTCGGCCGTTCGGCGGTTCGAATCCCTAGCGCCGCGTAACAGAGCGAGATCCCGTTCCCGGTCCCAGCTTCTGCCAACCTAGCAGTTGGAAAACACGTCAAAAAGAAATGCAAGTAGAAAAAAATAAGAGTCCCACTTTTGGTGGGATGGCAACAGGGTTCCGTGCGCCTTCGGCCTTTACTCATGCCGGCTACATGACCATGGAGATGTCTTCGGACAGCGCTGGCTCTTCGGATTTGAAACGGAGATGAGCACCGCCCGCTAGAGACAGAATCGACTGGCACATATGTGTCAGGGGAACCTTTATCTTTATTACGTTAATATTTGCCTCCCTGCATGGAGCGGCCATTTTTTCTAGACCTGTTAGGATTCCCACAAATATTATTGTTCCCTCTTTGTCCAGGCCTGGTTGTCTGCATTCCAGTGCTGGAGGAAAGACACTTACCCTGTGTAGACCTATCGGGCTTGGCTGTGCCCTGAAAACCCCAGCTAGGCATCTCCGGGCAATCCAGAGCCGTTCTGAAATAGCCAGAACAAGGGCATGCTTTGCACTAAACCTTTATCCACCTTGCCCGCTGTCTCTGCTGGCAGAGGCAGCTGGTACTTGTAGCTGCTGCTACTGCCAGCTCCACTCATCCTTCCTTCCACAGGTGCCCCGTCGGCTACTCTGGCCTGTCCTGCGAGCAGTGCGAGCCTCACTTCAAGAGAGTGCGCGGCGGATCCTACCTGGGCATCTGTTCCGGCTGCAGCTGCCATGGCCACTCCACCTCCTGCGACCCCTTCTCTGGCTACTGCCTGGTGAGCCGCTGGAGGGCGGGAGTTGGGGAGGGGAAGAGCAGGCCCTGAAGTTTGGGTGGGGGGCGACCCCAAGAGATGCTTTTACACTTAGGGTGCCGAACTGGAGAAAGTTTGAGAATAATACATCCAGGAGAATGGCTGAGAAACTTTTCAAGCAGCAAAACCTGTGCCGCAGTGGCGCAGTGGTTGGAACGCGGTATTGCAGGCTGATTTCGCCGACTGCCATCAGTTCGATTTCTCACCAGCTCCAGGTTGACGCAGGCTTCCCTCCTTCCGAGGTCGGTAAAATGAGGACCCAGATTGTTGGGGGAAATAGGCTGACTCTGTAAACCGCTTAGAGAGGGCAGTAAAAGCACTGTGAAGTGGTATATAAGTAAGGGCTAAGTAGTGGTGTTGCATTGTTTGGTGCACAGGGCAAATATATATATATATATATATATATGAAGATTTGCACTCTTCTGTCATTTCCCCCGCCCCCAGCACACTTCTCCTTCTCCTCGCCTGCAAACTCTTCAAATGCATCTATTTGGAGTCCGGGTAACCGCCAGTGTATGAAACTCTGGGGAGATCTCAGATCCAAAAGGCAACGACTCTTGGACCAGAGCGGAGTCCGGGCCTCTAACGGCCCTTTCCTGCCCCTCCTCCTCTCTCTTCCTACAGAACTGCCAGCACAACACGGAAGGGCCGCGGTGCGATAAATGCAAGCTGGGCTTCTTTGGCGATGCCACCCAGGCCACCCCGGCGGCCTGCCGGCCTTGCCCGTGCCCGTACACCGAAGCTTCGCGCAGGTGAGGGAGGGGCGTGGTTACCTTGGGGAGGGATGCTTGGGGCAGCTTCAGCATACATCTCTGCGCAGATTTCTGGACTACGCTACGGTGGCGCAGTGGTCAGAATGCAGTATTGCAGGCTACTTCTGCTGACTGCCGGCTGCCTGTAAATTTGGCAGTTCGAATCCCACCAGGGGCAAGGTTGAACTCAGCCTTCTATCCTTCCGAGGTGGGTAAAATGGGGACCCAAAATTGTTGGTGGCAATATGCTGACTCCGTAAACTGCTTATTATAAAGCACTGTTGAAGCGGTATATGAGTTTAAGTGCGATTGCTATTATTGAAATATTAAATGTTTGGCCCAGTGGGAGGCCCATATTAAAACAACATACCTCAGGGGTGGCCAGAATCCGAAAATGACATTTAATACAGCACGATTTCTGACTAAAATGGTCCGACTGAGATCGGCATAGGTGGGCCTGATTGGGATAGATTTCAGGGGTGATAAAGAAATATAATTTCATGTCATTTTATTCTGTTTTATACATGTATGTGTCAAATTATTGTATTTTGTCCTATAACTATTGTATTTTGCCCTACTCTCATTTTAAACTATTTGTTCAGAATTTTATTGGTAATATGTGTTTGAACCTGTACGTTGATGTAGCCTGCAGGCTAATCAACACACACACACACACACACACACACACAAACCTTCTATCTACTATCCATCTATCTATCCATATCCATCTATCTATCTATCTATCTATCTATCTATCTATCTATCATCTATCTACCTACCTGTCTGTCTGTCTGTCTATCTATCATCTATCATCTATCTATCTATCTATCTATCTATCTATCTATCTATCTATCTATCTATCTATCTATCTATCTATCTATCTATCTGCGAAATGCCACTCACGCATCATGACAAAATCTCCAGAACCGTAAGGCCTACAAACTTGAAATTTGGCACATCTGTTCCTCCTCTTGGCTTCTAGGTGCTCACTAAGAAAGGATTTTTCTAAATGACCATCAGAGCCATTAATATTTCCTATATTTTTATTATTAACCCGCTCTGATGCTCAGGAGTTCTACTCCCCCTCCCCACCTGAAAAGAAATCTCTTCCAAATGCAAAACACAAGCAGAGGAGTTTCAGTTTCGGTTTCACAGCACCAAGCAGCTTGAGTACAGAACAGTTGAGCTAAGCCACGCCCAGGCTCCTTGCTGTCTCCTTCTTGCTCACACCGCAAATACTCTTACAGTTTCCAAACCACCCTCAACTCTCACACACACTGACAGGACGCTAGCCAGGTGAATACAGATGGATGCTGGTAGGCAGAGGCAGAATTTTTTCCCCCCTTATTTTCCTCCCCAAAAACTAAGTTCGATCACCATAGTTTCGTAGCAGAGCACAGGTATCCAGCTAGTACACACACACACACACACTGCTATTGAATGTCGTCCTCCACACACCAACACACACTTCAGGAAAGAAAACGTAAGTTCCCAGGGTCCGAAAGAAGCTAAGTTCCCTTCCTCTCCCATCACACACGCACCTTTCCACAGCCGTCTCCACCGTTGCTTGCACCGGTTCCGCTTCTGCTTTTTCAGGGAGCTGCACCAGTGTGGCCCGCTGGAGGCAGGGCAGAGCTCCCTGGGCAGCCGGGCAGCCATCCTGAGGGTGTTCTTTCCCTCTGGCAGGTTCTCCAACTCCTGTTTCTTGGATACAGACCGACAGGCCACCTGCGATGCCTGCTTCCCGGGCTACACAGGACGCCGCTGCGAAAGGTAAAAAGACCCGTTGCACTCACCTGCGTGGGGAGGGAGGGGGGGAGGTTATGGCCAGGGGACATATCCGAGGGAGGGCTTTCCTTTCTCACCGGCCGTTGTCCGTCCCCACCCTTCCCAGGTGTGCTCCTGGCTATGAAGGCAACCCCATCCAGCCAGGTGGGAAGTGTGTGCCGATTGGAGGAGGCCCCCAGATTCCAGGTAACCTCCTTGGGATCCCAGAGGGCTGTTTCAAAGTCCCTGGAGGTCCAGCGGGACTGACCACCCTCGGGGGACGGGGAGGATGTCGAGAAAGGCTTTTTTTCCTGCTCGGATGGAATTTCTGCTTTTATTCCAGCTGTTCTTGGTTGCCCCATCTCGGAGCAAACCCCTTACTCCGAGACACGTGATTTGCTATAACCTATGACCCTGTTTCCCCCCCCCACACACACACATACACACAACCCTCTGGGTGTGTCATAAATCAGATTCTCCAACAGAAACACATTCACAAGCTGGGTGTCATCAATCCCATTCTCCAATGAAGGATTTTAGTGGGCAGAAGATCCGGTAGCCTAGGCTACAATCTCTGCAAGATAAAGAGTTGGAATGTGCTTCTGGCTTTCATCTGCCGCACTGCTCCTCCGCCCCTCCTTCTTATGGCAACTCAGAAATAGGCCTAGGGATGATTTACGAGTTGACACCCCTCTCCTAGAGGCTGGCTCCTTGTCCTGCCCATCCTCCACAGCCAGCCTCGCATCCCAGAGATAGGTAGGGTCAACTAGGCTGGGCCTGAGGGTGGCTCTCTCCTCTATCTACTTCTCTCTCTCTCTCTCTCTCTCTATAGAGAAAGAGGTTGTCTGCGACGAGCGAGGGGGCAGGAAGGCGTCGGATGGGGGCTGCCGGTGTAAGGTAAGCTGGTGGCGCTGGGGGGTGGGCGGAGCATCGCCTTAGGAAAAGAGGCAATTTGCAAGCGCACACACACACACACACACACACACACACACCTGTTTCAAAACCCAGCTCTTCCCCGAGAGGTTGGTACCCCTGGGACAGTGAAGTCGTCTGGGGCTCAGCCAAAGAAAAAGGGAGGCCTCCGATTTGGACCTTGGATGCTGAAATGCCGAATTAGGAAGCACGGTCCGTGTGTGCGTGTGTGTGTGTCCGTGCAAGCAAGCACACACCAGTCCATGCTTCAGGAAGGAGTTGTGCCGAGCAAATCTTTGCCCCCAAAGCCCCCCCACCCCCCACCCCGTTTCCCTTTCGAACATCTGGATCCGAAAGGGCGTGAGATCAACATATTAGAAAGCGTTTGGCCCTGCAGGAGGCGAATCCCAGGATCTGCCTGGCAGAATCCCCTCCTCCTGGAGTGTGTATGTGGGGGAAATCCAGGGGGGATCCCCAGAGTGTGGAAAGGCTGACCAGGAGCCAATAAGCGGGATGCTCGGCTTAAGGCGGCTGGATGACCTCAGCCATCCCTGCTTGGCAGCCAGGGTTTAGGGTGGGGGCCGTTTACAGAGGCAGCCACTGTTTGGCAACGTGTGAATTCTCTCTCTCCCTCTCTCTCTCTCTCCTCTCAATCCTTCTCTCTCAATCTCTCCTCTTTCTCTCTCTCAATCCTTCTTTCTCAATCTCTCCTCTGTCTCTCTTTTTTCTC